AAAAATTCTCTGCCCCCCCCCCTTACATTTTCCTTCAGTCCCCAGATTTCTAGCATCTCAGAAACTTAATACTTCAGTTGATCGTTTAGAAATGCATTTGATGCACCCAGGCAAAATTACAAAGAAAATTCGAATATAAGAAAAAGCTGAAACTAAATCCAGACAAGATAGAGGTACTCCTGGTCAGCCAGAAGGTGGATCGAGGTGTAGGATTACAGCCTGTGTTGGACGGGGTCATACTTCCCCTGAAGACACAGATCCGCAGTCTGGGGGCCATCATGGACTCATTGATGACCATGGAAGCTCAGGTATCAGCAGTGAAGAACTCGGACTCTGCGGTCATCAGAGGAGGACCTGCCCTTGGTCCCATTCCCTTCTCAAGCACGGCTGGTGGGAACAAGAGAAAGGGTCTTCTCCGTGGTGGTCCCCCACCTCTGCAACTTCCTCCTTAAGGAACTAGAGATGGGCCCTTCCCTCCTTGCCTTTAAGAAACAGCTGAAGACATACTTCTGCTCACTGGCTTACGAGGAGGAAGAGGAATAGATATTGACATTGCTATTATACCTCTGAGTAATATCTGCAATCCATCCCTGAGTTTTGTCTGCCCTGCTAGCTCAGTTGACATCTTGAGCAATGATCAACTTATATGCCCCCAAGGAACTCTGTTGACTCTAGGAAATTGAAGCTTCTGTTTCATGTTTGTTTTATGCTTGATATAATAGGTAGCATTTAAATCTAATCCTAATTTGCTTAGTAATTTTTTTATACACTGTGAAGTTTAATTTTCATTATTATGTGTTTATTAGTTGCTATGTTCAGACACTGAATGTTTGCCTTCTTGTAACTGGAATCTGCCCTGAGTCCCTTTGGGGAGATAGGACAGAATACAAATCAAGTTTTTTTTTATTCTCAGTGGGAACAATATTCAGGACCTCTTTCTTTGCAATGGCAGAAGTTTGGGGAGTGAATGGAAATTTCATGTGGGGGGAGGGGGCTCTGATTTGAAGGAAACATGCCTTCATTCAACCTTTTCCACCTTCACCCTCCCATAGCTACATCCCTGGTTAAAGGTCAAAATGTAAAAGTACTGCAGGGTAATTAAAGTATAGTAATTAATTGCATCTAGCAAACTTGAGAAGGCCAGATAGTATCGTGTTCTGGGGAGAGACAATTTCCAGGACTAGAAATCAGTGGCCTCACCGAGGTTTGCCATGTTGATAACAAAGGCAAGATCTGCAGAGTTTTTGAAAATGGCAGATCTCAGGGGAGGGAATTTATTTTATTTGCTTACAAAAGCAAAAGCAAGCAAGAATAACCTATTCCAATAAAGTGAACACTGCTAAAATCAAAGGACAGCATTGTAAAAAGCTTAGCAAAACATTCTTCTCTTCAATAGCTATCTGAAAGGCAGCCAAGAGAAGGGAAAGAAGCTGCTACACAAAAGGCCCTGTTTTGAATATCCCTCTTTAAGAGGACCTCTCATTATGAATGTAAATTGGGGGCAAGCTGCATGGAGAGTGGTGCTTTGTAGATATCCTGTCTGCAAGCCAGGAGCCCCAGTGAGCCCCAGTTTGAACTGGGGCTCACAAACCTAGAAACCCAAACGGCCCATGAATTGTGGGCACACCAGGTGACCCTGGGCAAAGGCACGCCTGGCCGCTGCAGCCACCTAACCATTCAGAAGTCCTCCAGCATGACTCTACAGTCAATTTCCAGTGGACCTACAGATTACCAGAGAAAACATATATTAATTATTTCCATGAATAGTCAAATCCACAAAAGTGTAATTTGCAAATATGGAGGGCATACTGTATATACAGGCAATGAAAGGGGATCAGAGGAAGTCCCATGGATGTCAGTCTAGAGTTAAAGAGGCAAGAGGTAATGACAAAGATGTTTACTTTAGGCTCTGAGGAGCAGACAGGATTGGAATAGAGTAGGCAATAAGTACAAGGTAGCTTCATGTGTTCAAAAAGGAGCTAAATATCAAGATAGTAAGGGGCCCAATATGAAAATATTTAGCATTTCTAATACAGGCAGTCCCAGAGTTACAAACATTCAACTTACAAACAGCTCACAGTTAAGAAGGGAGGGTGACACAACAGGAAGTGAGATAAATCTACCTCCAGGAAGGGAAATTCACTCTTGAAAAAATTTGTATGGAGAAATGTTGTCTCCACTGAAGCTTTATCACCAATCCTTGTTTCTACAACAAGCCAAATTTGTCAAAATCCAATTATCACAGGGACAGAAAGTGCAGTGAAATCTTCTGAACATGAGCACAGACAGCAAAACAAACACCACAAGATGTTAACCCTTCCCTATGCTATCCAAAGTGTGTATCTGGAGATACACTTAACAATGTACCTTTTCTAACTTTCATACAAATTCAACGTAAGAACAAAACTACAGAACCTATCTTCATTGTAACTTGGGGACAATATAGAAATAGCAGCAGACTTCAGTCCCAGTTCTTCCAGGGGCTCTCCCAAATATGTTAGCTTTTCATCATTTTTTTTACATGCGATGCCTTAACATATATTGTTTCTCTAGCTGAACACTGAAGTGTTATCGCTCTGGTAATTTTCTAATATAGAGTTTCTTTGAACATTTGAATCAGCTCACTACATTTGATATAGTAAAAGAATAAAGTTAACTGCCAGGGAAAATAACATTCGCAAAATCACTATGGGTTCTGACCTTAAAGACTGTAGTCTAAAATAATTTAAAATCACTATCAGACCAACTCTACTGTATGTCTGGATGATCCTAGTTTTCCAGCAAACAGCAATGCAAGATCAAGACAACCAGACTGGCTGTCGGCATGCTTAGCTATCACCATAATTCCACATTGCTGAAAATAGTTCGTTTATTTTAAGAACTATCTTTCTCGGATTTCCTATAATTCTGGTCTAGCCTCCTTCTTTAACCACAGACAAAAATAATTTTCACAGAACCCTCATTCACACACAGTCAGAAAGGAAGTGGCAAGGTAGTTAAATAGAACCCAGGAATAAATAGATGTAGGCATTTGCAGTTTCGCTGGCTTGCAGAGGCCTGCTGATGCCGAAGAAATTGGAACAGAAGGAAAGTACTGTTGCCAGATATCAAAAAAGAATTCATTGCATGAGGCAGGCAAACCAGCATTGCAGCTGGAACATCACCAAAGGTCCCTATCTCAGGATGCACATCCCAATCCTGATCTTTCTCCTCTCCATGAGTCCCGCATCACTAACTATTAATGGGTAAAACCCAACAATAGCTCCCAGTCCTGCAGTGTTACCATCACCTATCTTGATGTGATGGGCCTTTTCCACCCCTATGCCAGCAATAGTCCTCCTCTCCTCTCTCTCTCTCCTCTCTTTATTGCCAAGTTGATAGTTTTTCTTTTGTTTTATATTTTATAGTTATATAAGCCTTTTTCATTTTTAAATGTTGGAATTGTGCTCTTGTCCTAAAACAAAATGGAATAACAATTGACAAACAACACTAGAGCTGGAAAACATGGTTACAAGAGTGTGCAAAAATACAATTCTGGGACGTCAGAATGATGCTTTCCCCAAGTAGCCACACAATGATCCTATCTCTTCTAAGTAGCCACAGAATGACCATATCTCCTCTAAGCAGCCACACAATGATCATGTATCCTCTAAGAGGCCTCAGAATGATCATGTCTCCTCTAAGTAGCCACACAACAATCATGTCTCCTCTAAGCAGCCTCAGAACGATCATGTCTCCTTTAAGTAGCCTCAGAATAGTCATGTCTCCTCTAAGTAGCCATACAATGATCACGCTTCATCTGAGTAACCACACAATGATCATGTCTCCTCTAAGTAGCCTCCGAATTGTCATGTCTCCTCTCAGTAGCATAAGAATGATCATGGCTCCTCTAATTAGCCTCAGAATTGTCATGTCTCCTCTAAGTTGCCTCAGAATTGTCATGTAGTGTATTGGCTGATGTGTTTGATGTTTTAACATGATTTTACTGTTTTACTATTTTATTGTATTCTTTGATGTATATGTTGTAAGCATTTTGTGACACCGCTGTGAGTCCCCTTGTGGGGAGAAGGGTGGGATAGAAATGTACGAAATAAATAATAAATAAATGTCTCTGCTCAGTAGCCTCAGAATGATCATGGCTCCTTTCAGTAGCAAACAACAATCATGTCTGCTCTAAGCAGCCTCAGAATTGTCATGTCTCCACTCAGTAGCCTCAGAATGATCATGGCTCCTCTCAGTAGCCACACAATGATCTTGTCTTCTCTAAGTAGACTCAGGATTATCATGGTCCCTCTAAGTAGCCACACAATGATCATGTCTCCTCTAAACAGCCTCAGAATTATCACATCTCTTTTAAGTAGCCACAGCATGACCAAGTCTCCTCAAAGGATTAAATAAAAGCAATAAAGACAAAGATGGCATTAGAAGAAAAAGACCACAAATGTGGACGGATCCCCTGTTGAAGAAAGCTTGGAAGCCTCACTTTTTTGGCCTACAGCTGCCAGAGCCCGGAGCTGACTGGAGCTGTTGTGATCTCAGTACCTGGGGAATTCAAGGAACTGTTGGTGGAAGCCCATGAACTTTGTAAAGCTCTGCCTGTCTTCTCAACAAGACACAAACCAAAAATCCCCCTATACTTGATTCTCCAGAGATCCAAGTCCAGAGGAGGGTGACCCACCAGAAGGAATGCACTTGGAGGCCCCTTGAACTGCCAAGGCTCAATGAATGCTTCGGAATCCTGGGAGTTGGAGCTGGCCAGGCTCTTCCGCCTTCTCTACCCAAGAGTGCTCCCCAAAACATCCTTCGGCTGGAGCCATGGCAGCTCAAGAGACATCACGCTGCCTTCCTTCTACAGATGCGCCCTGGGTCTGGTGGATTCCGAGGGGAACCGAGAGGGAGGACCCTCCTCCATCCCAGGAGAAGCGCAAAGGCGCCTCCAGGAGGCCTGATCCGAAGGAGGGGAGGCGGGGGGCTCGGTCCCACCTCCGCCCCCAACTTACCGAAAGTCGTGGCCAAGGCGGCCAAGGCGCAAAGCACCACCACCCCGGCCAGGGCCCGGCTTCCCATCGCCGCGAGAAACCCGACGGGTCCCCGGGCTGCAGGAGGGAGGAGGCGGAGGGCGAGCGGGTGGGCTCCTTCTCTCCTCGCTTCTCCTCCTCCTCCTCCTCTCTTGGGCGTCTGTCTGTCTTCAACGCCAGGGGAGCCAGGACAGCTGCGGCTCGGCTGGACCTCTGCCACGGGAGGCTCCGGCGCTCCCTTTGCGCCACTTGCAGGGAGGAGGAAGAGGAGGAGGAGGAGGAAGAGGGAGGGGAGAGAGGGGGGCTGAGACGGGGGGGGCACTCGGAGGGCGACGCTACTTCCTCTTGGCCTAGCTCCACGTCAAGCCAAAGGCCAGGCAAAGGGAACCAGAGCAGAGGAGGAGAGAATGCGCCAAGGGAGACACTTCAGCCTGGCTTCATTGGGGAGCAATGTGCGGGTGCATGTGTGCAGTACAGTGTGTGTAAATCAGACCTTGGCCAACTTGGGCCACCAGGAATTTTGGACTCCAACTCACTCCCACCATTCCTAAGAGCCTCAGGCCACTTTCTTTTCCCCCTCAGGGCCTGAGGCTGTTTATTTATCTATTTATTTATTTATTTATTTAAAACATTTATATTCTGCCCTTCTCCCCCCAAAGGGGACTCAGGGCGGAACAAAGCATATATACAGCAAACATTCAATGCCGGGACAAGAATTCACATACGAATACATAAAGATTACAAACATTTATCTCAATATTAAAATACACCATTCAAAACCATCTTGGTCATCTGCGTCAAATCTCATTGGCCTGGTAATCTCCTATTGCTGCGTTATTCCCCTGTCCCGAAAGCTTGGTCCCACAGCCAAGTTTTTACCATCCTTCTAAAGGACGGGAGGGAAGGGACCAATCTGAACTCACCAGGAAAGGAGTTCCATAGCCGGGGAGCAATCACCAAGAAGCCCCTGTCTCTCGTCCCCACCAATCGCACCTGTGACAATGGCGGGACAGAGAGTAGGGCCTCCCCGGAGGATCTTAATCTCCATGATGGTTCATAGGGGGAGATGCATTCAGACAGGTAAATTGGGGCAGGGCCGTTTAGAGCTTTATAGGCCAAAGCCAGCACTTAGAATTATGCCCGGTAGAAAACTGGCAGCCAGTGGAGCTAATGTAACATGGGAGTTGTGTGTCGCCCCATTTATTAATCTGGCTGCCTCTTGTTGGACTATTTGAAGCTTCCGAGCAGTCTTCAAAGGCAACCCCACATAGAGTGTGTCTTGGATGTAACGAGAACGTGGACCACCGTGGCCAAGTCTGACAAGGTACAGGCGCAGCTGGTGCACAAGTTTTAATTGTGAGAAAGCTCCCCTGGCCACCACTGTAACCTGGGACTCCAGGCTCAGCAATGAGTCCAGGAGGACCCCCAAGCTGCAAACCTGTGCCTTCAAGGGGAATGTAACCCCATCCAGCACAGGCTGTGACCCTGTACCCTGTTTGGCTTTGCGACTGACCAGGAGGACCTCTGTCTTGTCTGGATTCAACTTCAATTTGCTCGCCCTCATCCAGACTGTCACAGCAGCCAGGACTTGGACAGCCTCCTTAGTATCTGGTGGATAGAGTGTGTACAGATGGTATCGGACTCCAAAACTCTGGATGATCTCACCCAATGGCTTCATGTAGATGTTGGGAATGGAGGAACTTGGAGTCCAAAACCTCTGGAGGGAGGGCCCAAGTTTGCTCATGCCTAGTGTATATAGAAGCCAGAGTTTTCTGTAGCGAAAGGAGTGTTTCTTTTAAACACTATACACATGGTAAGGTAAAGGTAAAGATTTTCCCCTGACATTAAGCCCAGTCTTGTCAGACTCTGGGGATTGGTGCTCATCTTCATCTCCTTCAGGTCAGCAGTTCAGCCGACACAAGGGTTCAATTCATTGCGCCACCTTGGCTCTTATTTCTTTTATTTATTTATTTATTTATTTATTTTGTAAATGACTCTTTCAAACATCATGTGTTGGTGAAGTAATGGTGGCTTCCATGTAAGCAAGGTGGTGAATTTGTTCTGGATTTTTGCCTAAACTTCCTAGGGTGACCTCACATTTCCAAGCCCTACACCTCCTGTCACTCATTCTGCCCTCAAGATTGGGCCTACAGGAGAGAGAGGATACAAAACAGAAACTTCTCTGTGATAGAAGATAAATAGGAAAAAATATGACATAAAGATAGGGAAACGGTTGCAGAGATTGGGAAAAGAGGGCACAGAGAAAACGTTCAGCCAAGAAGAACTGGATAGGGTTTGGGGAGCCATGAATATTTACATAGATCAAGGCTTAGTGTGTGCTTTAAATGTGTCTTAATAAACTTTTTTTACAATGGTGTTTGTCTGTTCCTATGAAATGTTGAGTCTTGACCTACTTACTAAAGTGAACTTACTGAAGACCACATCTGCTTGGGGCCCAAGTACCTGATTCAGGGAGGGATCTTGTGAGCCATTTCCACATTCATGGGTTATATTTATTTAAGAACCAGCAGAGCAGTGGGACTGTCAGAAATGACTATTTTTAATATTTAGTGAAGCAGAAAAAATATTTCTCAGGAAACATGAATCCTGTGAATACTCAGCAGACCAGCTTGCAGGTGGGTGGTGGGTAGGTGTTCTGAAAGATGGTAAAAACCATCCCTCAACCACCAAGCAGAAGACCGAGCAAGGCTTCACAATAAAAGATATATTGAGAGCAAAATTTCACATAGGAAGACTGGAAATTTAAGAGTAAGCCATTGATAGCATGGGATTATTTGATTCTGCGTCCTCCAGGAGATTCTTACATGAACCATGTAAAACCTGGGTAGACTAACGTGGCCCTCCCAGTGTTTTCATCCTCCACCTCTTTTTTGTAAAGGTTTAAGGTTTGTTTGTTTTTTCCATGTCAGGAGTGACTTGAGAAACTGTAAGTTATTTCTCATGTGAGAGAATTGGACATCTGTAAAGATGTTGCCCAGGGGAAGCCCAGATATTTTGATGTTTCACCATCCTTGTGGGAGGCTTCTCTCAGGTTCCTGCTCTCCCTGGATTCGAACCACTGATCTTTCAGTCAGCAGTCTTGCCAACACAAGGATTTAACCTTTCGCGCCACCAGTTTAGGATAAAACATGGCAATTCCAGGCTTGGAGGTTGAAGGGCCAAAACCCGAGACCATGTCTTTCAAATAAAAACAAAGTTAAAAAGAAGAGAAAATATTTATCTTACTGGAAACTAAGTTTTCCAAACTCCAAAATGAACAGAAGAAACAAATGTTTCCGAGCATGGGTTTAATACCACTTGGGAGCTATCTGGACCTTTAAACCAGTCCATAAGTAACATTTCATAGCCATTTACATTTAGAAAAGGAGTACATTTGGATTCTTTGAGCTGGGTTTCAGAACAAATAACATTTTTTTTAATGTATTATCTTTATGTAGATGTTTTTGGCCTCTATATGGCAGTGGTTCCCAATCTCTGGTCCGTGGACCACCAGTGGTCCACAAGAACTAAAATATGATCTGCAGCCTCACCGTTAATACACAGTTGCAGCAAGAGAGACTGGTTTCACAAAAACCCCTTATAGTGCCGAGGCTTATTAATTATGGTTTTCTGTGGGCCAGCAGATGGCAACTACTGGATGGCATATGTTCTGTATCAGAAACTAGAGCTGATGTGGTCCATCCATTGCAATTTTCTGAATCCACACCCCAAATAACCAAATCAAATCTATAGTTGACCAAAAACTGATTCATAATTTTTTTGGTACTAATGTTGGAGAGTGGTCCCTGGTAAAAAAAAAAAAAAAGTTGGGAACTACTGCTATATGGAAATGTTGTAGCTGTTCGCTTTCAATAATAGATATGCAGGGGCGGCTCAACACATTACGCAAAGTAAGCATTCGTAGTACAGTTGATTTTGCCCAGGGGCGCTCTTGAGGCACTCTTGGGGGAAAATAGACCTTGACATATGCGAGTTTTAGTTACTGGAATGTATAGTTCATCTACAATCAAGGAGCATTCTGAACTCCACCAATGATGGAATTGAACCAAATATGGCACACAAAACTCCCACAATGAACAGAAAATATATATCAGTGATTTGGGGGGGGGGGGGGACCAAAATACTGTTTGCTTACACTTGAAAATTACCTAGGGCCGCCCCTGTAGATATGGGCAGTATTTACGGTGGGTTTCCTTCTATCACTTCAAAAGAAAGAATGATACATCACTTTACTGATGAATACATTTTATTGTTGCATGCAAATGGTATGGAAACAGCAGGATACATTGTACAGAAATCTGGTTCTGTGTATTATTTCATTCATTCCAAAGTTTCTTGGTGACTTTTTGGAACAGCAGTCAACAATGATTGTTCATAAAGGTGTTCATATTCCTGTGTAGCCAATATCACAAGAAGAACGTAGTATGCTTAAGCGGCTGAGTGGGAAAAGGAAAGGGCCTGAGGCTGCTAGGAATTGTGGGAGTTGAAGTCCAAAACACCTGGAGGGAGGGCCCAAGTTTGCCCGTGCCTGAGCAAGCTGTATCTCATTGGCAGAAGGACTTTTCAGAACTTTGAAGTATCAAGAGTTCTTGTGTTTGTAATCCTCTAATGCCAGTATGTTCAGGGAATGGATCAGAGAAAAACAGAGAGGTAGAGATGGGCAGGACAAGTGTGCAAATGTTGAAGTACATCCCATTATCATCTTCCCACTACAATGTAGTGTTTTTTCTTTGCAGTAAAGTACAATAGTAGAGACTGCTGTGGGCACTATTATGCTTCAGTTCCATAAAGCAGAAGAGCCAGAAGATAAAGTGTGAAAATACGGTCAGTGTCTAGTAGCAGCCATGGGTAGAATATTGTGTACAATTCAGGGGTATGGTACTGAATCTTTCAGAATAAAATTCATATAGATTTCATGTATAGGCATAACTGCAACCAAGTTTAATAAAACTAATCCAGAAAGTTAGCACTGAATGGATAATCAACTTTGAACTCAATGATAATTTAAACAAATTTTGACTGCTGGGCATGCTTTGGAGATGGTGCTTATGTTATATCGACTTGAATTTCATGGGTAAGGGGAATTTCATCACATCTGTTTTCACCAAATTAAAACACAGATGGCTCCACACAGGAGTCTGACTCCTCATCAAAGACCAGACCAGATGGACAGTCCATTATATATGTGTATCCATTAGAGCATGAGTAGTATTTGTGTGGATTTGGTGGATAAACATAGTTACCATCAGGTTTATCCTCACAATAGTTGTCAGGTAAAGCGGTGGTAGGTTCAGGAGTGGTGAAGGGTGTTCCAGTAGGCAAAGGGATCAATGTTGGTATAATTCCAGAGCCTCCGCATACTGAAAGAGATATTGGAAAACCACATTATTGTTGTCTTGTAATCAGCCATATTATTCCAGTGAATTCCTAGTAGCGTACAGCCAATGACTATAAAGCAGTGGTTCTCAACCTCCAGGTCCCCAGGTGTTTCCAAAAGTATCTCCCTCTATGTATCTCCCTATATCCAAACATATCTCCCTCTAAAAGCCATCAAGGAGGTTAAGACCATCTGGGGAGGTCCTGCTCTTGGTCCCACCACTATTGTAAGTACGACTGGTGGAGATGAGGGACAGGGCTTTCTCAGTGGTGACCCCTCAGCTGTGGAACTCCCTCCCCAATGAAATCAGGTTGCCCCCCTCCCTCCTAACCTTTCCAAAAAAACTTAAACATGGTTGTGGGACCAAGTCTTTGAGCAGTAGACTAGACTGAAAGTGATTTTATGTGATCAGCAATGGATTGACCTTGGCCCATGATTCTGAACTGACGGAACTTGTTTACATGAATGTTTTAATAATTGATTTTAACTGCTTTTAAACTGTAACTGTTTTTAATTTATGTATTGGCATTGAATTGTTGACTGTTGTGAAGCCTCCCTGAGTCCCCTTTTGGGGGGTGAGAAGGACGGGGTACACATGTGTGAAATAAATAAATAATGCTCTGCATCGACACAACTAGTGTGAACTCAACTTCACCATAACCAGGAGACAAATAAACTGTGGGTGATCTTGTTGCAGAATGTTACTATGCTATTTACAAGAATGAGCTGTGAAGATAAAGGCTGCAATCCTACAGTTTGGTTCAAGAAATCTCACTAAATTTACTGAAAACTTAAGAGCTAACCAGACTCCACAAATGTGTCAGAAGGTGACAGTTCATATTGTGGTACTAAACACAAACAAGATTTTGTTAATTACAGGAAGATCTAACTTTTTTTCCAATTTGTTTTATTCCATAAGAGTGTCGTTTTTTCCAATCAGATATTTACTGGTGCATTTGTGGATATCATGTTTGTTACAAAGTAATGAGACTATCCCAGGCATGGGTAAACTTGGGCCTTCCAGATGTTTTGGACTTCAACTTCCATGATTCCTAACGGCCGGTAGGCTGTTAGAAATTGCGGGAGTTCAAGTCCAAAACAACTGGAGGGCTGAAGTTTGGCTATGCCTGATCTATCCCATCCCTTCCCCTCTCCATATTTTCCAAATACTATTTGCAATCCACACTCCCTTGCTTCCATCTCCAAAAAAATTTAAAAATAATTTTGGTGCAGCATTGATTACTAAACTTCAATTATGCTGCACCAATGGGGAGCCCTTACATCCCACTCAACAAGGTCAGTAGGGAAACTATGTTCCATATATTAATAATTTTCTGGTAAATATATGTAATGTGGTGCAGAAGAAGAATGCTTTCCTGAGGTTCCTTTTAAACCAGTGCAAAAATAGGGGGACTCTTGAATATCCATTTAGGACCTGCCTTAACACTTAAACAGACATATCTATCTATCAATCCATCCATCCACATAATAAAAGTGAAAAATGTGTATGTGGCGGAGGTGTCTGCTTACACAGACAGCCTCCAGCTTCCACAAACAGGTTATAGTTCCAAGT